AATTAAGATGACTAGCATTATTTTTATGTTGAATATTTCAGTGAATATGTTGATCGGCACTACATTTGTCTCGAATCCCTTCACCTAAAATCAACGGTTGGATACAGATTATTCCATCTGTCTAGTACATCTCGGAGAACAGTGTGTTCTGAATTCCATAATTCTACTTGATTCAATACGCATATTGAAATGTTTAATTTGAAAATTTTGTTTTCATTTTTATCTTGTTAGTTGATTTGGTGTACATACTAGAGAAAGTGCGGTCATATTTGCCATAAATATTTTCATGGTGATTAACTTAGGGATCTTCATAGTTCTACATAATTGAGTGTGATGATGTATGACGTTTTAAGTTGAGCATAAATTTGTTTGTGTGGATCAATGTTACTGTTTTCTATCAGAATGACGGCTTTCAATTTTTGACGCTTATATAGTGTATAAATGAAATAAATGGTGTCTACACGGATCGGTTTTTTTTAGTAAGATGTGGTTCAACGGTAAGCCTTTGCAAAATGTAGAGTTTTTAAACTGATACACCATATTAAATTATCCGTTTTTCTGTCATGCAACTATACAAATAATTAGTTTCTGATGTTGCTAACAAAGGAATTATACAATACATATGAGTATAATAAATCGTTTTATGAGGTAACGAATCCTCATCAGCTTATGTAATTCGTATATATTTTATATACGATCAATTATCGCCTTTATTGATAGGCAATATTTGCTGGTTAAAATTTATGGACGAAACCAAGATTTGTTTTAAAATGCTCATACTTCTTGTTCGATGAGTTCACTTATTCTCACGAAACATTTTGGTTTTGTCCAGTTTCTTTTTATATTGTTATGGCTTCTACTACTCGACAATTTCATGTAGCTGTCTTAATACGGTGTAATAACTTGACCAGAAGCATAGTTTATTGATGACTAGAAAGCACACAATTACAGGATTTAATCCTGATAGTTACTGAGTTCATCAGTAATTTTCAGAGTCAATTACATTGTAAATCACCATACTAAAATTACCAAATAATAATAGTATACTTTTATAACTCTTGACAGACTAATGATTTTATCAACACGACTGGCGGCGATTTACATTTCTAATTTGTGGGAATGATAATATCTTAAACTACAAACTCAAATAAATTAATCTTGAACCAGACACTTTATGAAATCGGAGACTTAAATCTAATATTTCTTCTTGTAAATACTAAATAAACTTTTAAATTTACTAAGGAAGAACACAAATTAAAGCATTCGTAACTCTATCAAAAGTCAAACTCACTCTAGATCTTGTCTCCATATGAATTACTTTACAAGTAAATTTTCGAGACTTTGGATTAGTTTGCCGAAATCTGCCTGTGAAATAAAATCATTATCATCGTTTTATCGCTATATAGATAAGCACATACTCTTTGACACTGGTTTAAAGCTATATTCGATATAACTAGCGAAATTATAGGGATGTTAATTATTTGATCATTGTTGCTACTGAATAAACGGCAGATCAACCACAACATCATGATGTATAATATGTATATTTGATTAAAAACATCAGTTATTTAATTATTCTGTCATTCATAAATCTAGTCAGATTATTAGTTCAGGACAAAATTATTTCAGTATTCAACCTTATTTATGTTGATATACATATGAACGGATGTGATGTTCATCATCAGATGCCGAATAATCTGAAAATGAGCATACAATTTTATTTTACCATAAAACTTCGAAAATTCTGTTTCCCCTCAAATGGGTTTATAACGACGAATTGTTGGGGATTTACAAACAAACAAACAAATTCATTCTCGCTAGTTGTTGATTATTTCAGTGTGACGATAACCATAAGTAAAAACGGATTGTTTATAGTTAATGTTCAAAGTTTTACTTTGATTTTTTAAAAGTTTCGAATGGCGTTTCTAAAGTCATAGGTAGACAATTATTTATTAAAAAGTTACTTAGTGAAAGTTAAGTATGTGTTATTTAGCAAGTGATAATCAGAACGCTTGAAGGAGACTAGATGTCATATCGCAAACTTCGGTCTAAATATTTTTTATCCATTTCAACTAATTAATTTTACGCCAACTAGCATTGCTCTATTCATTGTTTCTTGATTAAAACTCCTTAGAAATCCTCGAGCAAGATTGTGAGGTCCCGTATCGTAACAAGAAATATACACCATATGTGAAAATTTCAAGCCGATGTTATTATCTTACTCATGCGGTAGTAGGATATTCGGAAACTGAAAGAAATCTAGTGTTTTTTTTGTTATATGTACATTTCATACCTGCAGTTTACTATTCAGTAACCCTATCAATGACTCACATTTTCCAGAAAATATCATCTATCTCTTTACTATAATTATTTATTAACAATAATAAAACATGCTATATCCAATGCTGTTCGCTTGACTACTATAAATGAAATCTCAGCATAAAATATTCAATGGTTCAACAAAATTCCCGTTTAATGAGCATTTAACTTTTGAATATTCTAAAATAAACGTAGGAACGCAATAAACAGTAATTAGCAGGTATTCACTCTTGTCTGTAAACGTTTATGATCAGTCCTGTTGCTCATATGACACTACTTTCCGACCCCTAATGCATTTGATGTATGAATTTTAAAGTTATTGTCAGTCGTTTCTCAAAGGATCAGAGAAGGAAGACGAAAATATACGAACCATTGAGTTGATACTCCTTAAGTTTTACAGGAATTAGATTTAAGTTACGTCATAAACGTTATACGTACAGTTATAAAACGTAATTTGTAAATTAAAATAATTGTGAAACTGAAAAACTTATGGTAATAACAGAAGTGTAAATAAACTAACAGCTATATCTAAAAACTAACAGATTTTATTTAAATTTAAAAACAAGAATCATTCACTAAATGGGTTTTTTGTCCAATATGAAATGCTATATCTAAATTTTACTATTCCATTATACGACATGATTATGGTACGGAATTTTCTATATTTATTTATTTCAGTCAGTCAGTAACAACGTAGAACTTCGTACGTACGTACATCAGTTCGAGTTGCCACACCACATTAGCATAGAGATGCAGTGGTCGATTCAAATCCCGTAGTGGTAGAGGTAATAAGAGTATAAGCAGTAATCGCGAAAATCAGGGTTTGGAGATGTTATATAACGAGTATAATCCAATGAAGTAAATTTGGAAAGAGAAAAAAGAGACAAGGAGGAATCGGGAGAACACAAAGAGTGTATGCACATGCGCCATTGCAAACGATTTCGAGCCATGTCATTCAGGGTCTCTAGCCATCGGTTGCTATCATCTCGCAGTCCCCAACCAGGTAGTCTACACCTACCAATATGACTCAGTCTACTTGTCAGTGACTTCATGGACTTGTGCCATGTTTTGGTCTGGCCGCCCCTAGCTTTCTTCCAACCTACTCCTATACAACAAAATATTGCACATCAAGGCAGTCGGTGGTTGGGCATACGTAACACGTGTCCCAGCCATCTCAACTGATCAAGTTTCACTACTTCATCAATTGATTTGCCGTCCTTACCTAGTACCCGTTTCCTAACAACTGCATTACTTACTCGATAGTCCCGATGGCACCGAATACATATGCGCCACACTAGTCACCTGATTTGTGTGTGGGGTGATACTCCCCGGGCCGAAGCAGGTGGTTTTATTAGAGGGCAACATCAGGAGCCTTCGATTTAAGGGTCTGATGCACAAGGCAATGGTAGTTGGTGACCAACAACAGGTTCACACGCCATTTGCTCCCCCAGGATCCTGGAGCTTGTGTACACCATTGGTTTGGAATCAGGGTTTTCCAATTCCCCTAAGTGGACTCTCCGTGTCCACCAACCCGGTATGGTATGGAAACATTTATTTGATAATCAACAATAATGTGTGATGGAAAATAGCTCGATATAGGTTTACAACTGATTGAAAATTGCCAAAGTTTCGATGTAAAAAAAAGTCTAGGTAAATCTACATAAAGACAAACCCTTTTTGTTCATGTGTTAGCAAACTAACAGTAAATAAATGGATAGAAACAGGAATGCTTAATATTTTAAATCACTTTTGTTAACTAGATTGGTAATGTTGTAATTATTTTAACTAGTCAATGAAAGAAAAGTATAAATATTACTCTCGATTGCCAACATATTATTTGCTTTTATTACTCAAAAATAATAACTTGACAGTTTAAAAACTTTAAATAATAAAGATGTTGCTTAAGATTGAAAATAATTTTTTTCAACACACAAACAAAACTATATTCTAATTGAATTGATTTATCACTGATTAATTTTAATACCGAAAATAACGCTTACACTAATTAGGTAAATGAAAGCCATAGAAAACAATAAACTAATAGAAAAAACAGTTGTGTTTTTCATCAAGATAACAAGTACACAAAACAATTATACTAATATTAATCTAAGTAACAAAAAAACCGAGTATTTTCAAAGTTATATTAGTTGTCAAACTTCTCACATGTCTGTAATAAAAGAATTACCCATTAATGATATTAATAATGATGCCTATATGAGTCTACAAACTGTATTGGGTGAACGTATATATATATATATATATATATATATATATATATATATATATATATATATATATATGCATATATAAATATTAGTCAAATGATTAAAAAAATACTGCTCATCTGTTTACAGTCAAATACCATTTGTCAAGTAACTTCTATAACAACATTCCAGTGTATAAATAATATTATTTGTAATAATGATAATAATAATTATTATTATAAAACAACGGTATTATTAGTGTTATCTTATTGGCAGTAGTGACATTATTATTAATAATAACAATAGCAAAGATACAAATAAAAAGATTTTTTTTAAAAAACAGTTGTAGAGAAAAGAAAGACAAAATAAGCGTGAAAGTTCATAAAAAAACAAAATACAGATAGCATTCATAGAGTAATAATAATCAATATATTCACAGTGAGCAAATTATATATATATATATATATATATATATATATATATATATATATATATATATGAAGTGATCTCTGTATGATCGAAGATAACCTAGTCAACAGAGAATAAACAGGAAATTAAAGAACGACTATTTGATGAACTGTTTCTAATATCAGTACTCAAAATAAATCACTACAATAACTAATCCCAATATTCTACTAAAGAATCTGAATGGACATTCATATGTTTAATAATAGTAATTTCAATGATAATAAGAGCGACAAAGATAACAACGGATTACAAGATGATACAAGAATGAATTGACTAGAAATTATATATATAATGTTTATATGTTTATGTACTTATCTAGATGTTTATGCCTGTTGCAATCAAAACGTAATAACAAAATGAACTTCTGATACACACACACACACACACACAAAATACAGTTACTTTTTATTGATAATAAAAAAATATGAGTGAAACGTTAGTGAACAAGATTGATCATTATGATTTTTAAAGTAGAACTGATAAATTATCCAATAGCGTTTTTTGTTTTTCTTTGTCTCTAAATTAAAATAGGAAACAATTAATTAATTGATGGAAAAATGGGAGAAAAAGATAGTGAGGATAGATTTCGGACTGCATAATAATCAATTTGAAGTAAACAAAAAGTATAATTTTAAAAATAAAAACAAACAAACAAACAAATGATTTTACATTTAAACAATTGAAACAATTATGTATATAGTTAGATTAAAATTGACTAAAAGTTATTCATTTTAAAAATAATGAAAGATTCAATAGACAGGTAAAGAGTAAACAATAAATGGAAAAGTATAAAGGAGACGAATAAAATGGTAAATAGAAAAAAAAACAAATCACAATGAAAATCATTGGATTGACAAATTCTTAGTTTATCGTTTCATTATATTTTATAAGTTACGAAAGAATAATAATAATAATAATAATTAAATATTTATATATTGACTAGTCAATGTAATTGTCACAATACATCCAAAACCGAATAGAAGACCAATAAGATTTGTGAGAAACATTGCCCAACAATTACCGTTCTCTATTCGTTTTGCATCTTCCATAGCACGCATTTCTGGAAGCTACAATATATACATTGTAAGTGTGAGAAAAAAAACAGAACAATAATACTGTTGTAAGAAAAAGAAAAGATATTTTAGTGAGCTTTTATTGAACACTAAATACTACATAGACCAAGTAGAACTGAACACTAAATAAATATCTTAAATGTTTCATAATACTTAATCATATGGATACGCTTGATTCAATGATCCAATCAACGATAGAGAACCAGATATGATAGGTCAGAACGAGAGTTTATTAATAGCACACAACATAAAGTAGTCGACAAGTGAATATAACATTATTGATTATACTAAGTGTAGATGGATATGTTTGTCATTGTTTACTAAGTGATCATAGGCTTAATTTCACTTGAAACATCAAACACTGTCACGCATCATGGAGTTATATAGGCTGAATATTGGTTATTAGACGTTTGATTTTCTGCTGTGTAGGGTTAACACGCTTTCCAGTCAAGTATTCAATAAATTGTGGAAAAAAGCGAGCATCAATATGCGATATTGTAGTACAACGATCATAAAATGAAGTTAGGTACCGGCAATAAGCGAAATAAGAAATGTAAGTATCTTACAATTAACTAGGCTTATTTACTAGCTAGATGATGTAAAACTTCATTGTCACTATGTGTATGACAGTTTTATGATAATGAAAAACGAAGAAGCTTGGAGCCTACTAGAAATTTTTACCGAAGTCGACAGAGAAATCATTTTAATAAAGGAAGAAGAAAACTGAGAAATCATCTGCTCACTAGACGTCTTATTGACGAGAAGAACAACCATAGAAAATATTTATCGTGGATCGACTAAACAAAGTTAACATAAACACCGACTGCTTAGATCACAGAGCCAAAATTATTTGTTCCGATAACACTCTTGAAGAGGAACTAAAATTTATTAATAATTTGCTAGGTCAACACGGATACCCATCACAGTACCTAACGAAGTATACGTCTGGAACCAAGCCTATATAGAGACCATCAATGGTACTAAAATAGCCTCTATTCCTGAAAATACAGTTCAAATGTGATATAGCCGGTGAAATAGTAATTCAACGTGTACGAAAAGCTGTAGAGCGTAGATTTAATACACTAAGATTATGCTCCTTTTTAGTCAGCCAATAGTGAGTTCATAAAATAAAGATAAACTACCTAGTTCCCCCAACTACACGTATATTTACCATTCCAAAAGTTCTTACATACAACACAAGCCATAGGAATACATATCAATAAATTTAACCCTTTTTAAAGTGAACCATTTTATGTTATAACTCCACCAAAGGTGTAAATAAATTAGTATAAATGAAAATGTCAAATGATGATTCACAAGCATGTACGGTTTAACTGATAAACATTTGATAAACAAAGTGATGTGCATTATCGTCATTATTACAAAAGTAATGATGGTAAGTTATTTGAGTTAAAAATTTAATTCCTTTTTTCATACTTCTAATTAATTCATTTCAATGACACTTTGTTATTTAGGTGCTTTTTTTACAACAAGAAACCCTTATTCGCCAATTTCTCGAAGTAAATAATAGAAACATATACTACCAATATAGGGTTTCGTGAAGATTATAAAATCTTCGTGCCTTTTATATCACGAACTTATTTAGGTTAGATAACTATTAAAAACCTGAAGTCACTAAACGTCCGTTTCGTTCAAGTATGGGACACCTCAGCAGTGCGCAGTTATGAGCGCGCATCCAGGAAGTGGCGTTCAATCACGTCAAGTGGGAAACAGCTATCCACCCAAGACAATAGAGGATGGTTGCGCAAGACTATGAGTCAATTGAAGTTATACATAAACACTGTTGGATGCCGGATCAGTAGCCTACAGGTCACACGTTCCCTTGCGAGACCTGATAAAGTCCTGGGTTCGGTTCCCGGATGCAGGGTCGTGGATAAGTACTCTTCATGAGTCCAAAACTAGGGCGAAGCGGCCGTCCAATGCTTTCAGGTTTTCAATGATGATCTTACTAAGACCAATTCGTGATATAAAATCTATGAATATATTAGTATATTTACGTCGACAAGCCGAATGAACATTAAAAGCTACTCTACCATAAATTTCTTAACTAATTACTACCACTTACCATATCTGCAAGAGCAATATACATAAAGAAGCCACCGGTTAAAGCAAACACATACGGTGCTACATCATTTAGATCACCAACAGATAAACCAACAAACAATCCTATATATGCTGAACACGCAGAAATAAAATTAAATAACATAGCCATTGGTACAGTTAGTCCAGAACGTAGAAGTACAGCAATATCACCTTGAAAATGAAACATAAAACAGGAAGGAAGAGTTATATATTTTTTAAATACTGTTTTTCGGCATGTTTCAACAAACAAATATACATTATGGATAGTGATTAATGGTGAAATTATGGTATTCATGTTCCATGCTATTTGATAAAACTGGTCAGATAGATGTTTCATAACAAAGACAGTCAGTCATGTACTGATCAGATAATTAGCTTGATAAAACTACTTTAGCAACTTATGCTTTAATCGGTATCTACTTAGAAGTTGTCTATCGAAACATTTATACTTAAAATTACGATTACTACAAACAAATATATATTGAAACGACTGTAATTATGAAACACAAATATGAAGTAGTTACATATTAGCATATTGTGGATAGCCATGATATAAGTGACTGAATAGGTTCATTTTAACAGTATTTAGGGATTTCGACAATTACCTAACAACACGTCTACTTACTCAACCTTAGCTGCTACCCTGACGCGGTGGTCGGGTTTGCTTATCACGATGACTCAACTGAGCTATATTGGCTGGTAAACAAGTTCTTTTAGGTCCCACCATGCAAAGCAGGTAGGTTAGGCCCCAAGGACGAAGTCGTACTGCTGACTGTAGAGGGTTGTGACAACAGGTAAGATGTTTTCCTCGGATAACCAGCAGCTAATCAATGCCGACTCCTCATAACAGGAGGAAGAAGCTAGAAAAGGTCTGCCCAAAAATATCACACCTCACCTCATCCCACGGATTTCTTTCTTCGGCAGTAAGGCCGTATGAAGTGCGGAGTTAATACATTTAAAGCTCTCAATAAAAAGGCTGTGCGCGACCGGCCTAAAACATTTATCTCTTAAGCTCTGCGGTCACACTCATAGATCGCCAAGACCACCACTAATTCAGCTTTTTTTCAGTCCCTCAAGAAGAAATATTCTTCCACAGTGTGGGCAACCGGGAAGTGACAACCGCCCTCATACATCCACTGGTAGCACTCGAGATCAAATCTCCGCTTAATTCTGAATAATCCTTCCATCCCCACAACTATCTGTTCTCATAAATCTTTATCCACACGCGCCCCCGATGTTAATGCTTTGAGTTCACGAAATGTCATTCCTAGTCTCCTGAAACCACGCTCTAAACTACATGTTGAAGTTTTTAATGTTCAGACCTTGTGTCAGATAGGAAAACAAGCTTCTTTAGCTGCGACTCTAGAGTCTTGCGCCATCGATGTATGCTGTGTATGTTCTGAAACGACCAAACGGGATCCAAGTACGGTAATTTATTCGACCTCACCTTGTCAGTAGAAACAACCAGCACAATTTACCCATCGAGTATCTGGAGACCCCAATACTGCTTCCAGCGGCCTCACTCGTGCAGGCATAGTCTTACGTTCTAAAGCAGAATAGCCTCTGTAAGACCAAATTCAAATAGAGAGTTGCTTTTGCGCTGTCCAACTAAACGGGATAGTAAAAACTCAAAAAGATAGGGACATATCGTTGCCCTGCTTACGCTCTTATTGCTTGTAGCTTGGATGAAACTAAAGATTAATTTTTATAGGAAGATATCCAATCTCATTCGAAAAGTTAGATGTCCTGATGTAGTAATAGTGATGGGTTATTTTAGTGCTCAATCAGGTAAACAAAACCAAACCGGAAGGCATTCAGGTGGATCTTATGATGCTGCAGCTGTGTAATCAGATAATGGCGACCGTCTGCTGCAACTATGATCAAATAACCATTTATTTCTAGCAAACACCAGCCTTAAACATAAGGAAAAGCATCTTATGACGTGACTACTTGCACAATAGGTTCAGCGATTGACTGAAATAGACCACACTGCCATCATCTATCGTCGGAGAGGCTCAATAGAAGACTGTCGCTCATTCTGGAGCACATGCTTAATCTCAGATCATGCTCTAGCTCGAGCACGTACTTGTCTGAGTCTTACTGGACGTAGAAAAGCCATAGCAAGAAAACCACTTAGAGTTCAACTTAATGATGAAAATGTTAAGAATATATTTCAGGAACAACTAGAAGAGTTAGTCAACCATGGTATGATAGCCGAAAAGCTGTGGAAACAACAGTGATATCTACTAACAACTTAAACCAAATGGTAAGGAAAAGTCAGTGGATTTCAGCAGTTCCTAATGAACCAACTGACAAATGACCAGAAACATCCCATCTGGCTCCGAACACGATGAAGAGCGGAGGAAGCTTAAACGTGGGCTGATAAAAAGCTTACGTAATGATCGTGAACAATGGTGGATAGCGAAAGCAGAAGAGATGGAAAAAGCGGCAGGGATAGGTAACGGTAGACAAGTGTTCAAACTTATCAAGGTAACGCGTATTGAAAATCTGGCTATTAGTGAAACTATCTCGGAAAAAGACGAGAGTATTATTCACTCTCAATCCAGGAGATTGGACCAGTTGGTACTTTAGAGAATAGCTCAACTGACCTCCAACCTGAATGGCGAATTTGTGTAAGTCCTCCAACTTTTAATGAGGCTGAAAAGGCTATAAGTGGTCTAAAGCGTACGAGAACAATAGGGCCTGATGCACTAACCTCTGAGATTTTTAAGGATGGTGGTCTAGCGCTAGCGTGAATAGAATTTTCGGTAAATATCATCCAGCGCTAGCAGTCATCATCAACTGAAATCTTAGCAAAAATCTGGAAACTGGATGTAACCGCATTTGACTGGTCTCGATCGCTGATCGTTCCAGTTTATAATACAGAATAAAAATCTTTTTGTGGCAATCACAAGCGAATCAGTTCGACTAATAGTGTAGTGTAGTATTATCCTCAATAATACATCGGTCTAACTAGAGCTCGTGAAAAAGGAACCCGAGAAAACCTGGCTGGGTTCAGACCTGGATGTGGATGTACAGACCAAATATTCACCCTTCGGCAGATCATAGAACATAGACATACTTTTCGATGTCCGTCAATAGTTGTAACCCTTGACCTTAGGGCGGCATCCCACTCCTTTGATTTTATGGCAGTGTCTATCATTGAAAGGCGTACCAAAAAACGAACATTCACCTTGTCCAGGTTCTCTATTCAAACACTAATGGTCAAGTTAGGGCTTATGGCGAACTGTCATCAGAACTAAATACTTCAATTGGTGTCCGTCAGGGTCGTCCGCTTTCCCCATTATTATTTAACGTTGTCATACACGAGGTTCTAGAGATAGCATTTTCATCCTCTGACTTTCCAGGAGTTGATCCTCTACAAGGCGATACATTAGTTGATTTAAAATACACAGATGACATAGTTCTGTTTGGAGAGAACGCTGACAAAATGCAGTCTTTTGACCACCTAAAGTAACAATGTAAGCATATTCCGAAAGCAGCTCGCTTTCTCTAAATGTAAAATGTTACACCAAGACTGGCTTACGTCATCGCCTGAATCAGTGATAGTGAGTGGAAAAATTGAAGTCAAGGACCACCTCACTTATCTTGGGAGTCTCACCAGTCCTGATGCCCTGGTATCTGATGAGGTCTCGGTACGGATTCATAGACGTCTTCGAAACATTGCTCGTGTATTTTGGGAACACGGAGCAAGCAATCTCTGGACTAGGCATAGAGTACTAGGTAAATACGATAAATCGATTGATGAGGTACTCAGTCTCCACCAATTGAGGTGGCTGGAGCATGTGTTATGTATGCCTAATCACCACCTACCTCAACGGGAGAAGTCTGGTGTAACAGCAGATTGAAAGAAAGCTAGGTAAACCAAAACATGGAATGAATCCATGGAGTCATTGAGAATTGGACTGAGCCATGCTAACAGGTGTGAACTACTTGGTTGGGGTCCGCACGATCATCGTAACCAATAGTTACAGACTTTGATGGACATGGCTTAGAACCACTTGCCATGGCGCAGGCGCATCCATTATTTGTCTTTCCCCAAATTCTGAGCTTCTGAATTCCTCATAACGTTTTTTTCATTTCACTAATTCGCATTGTCTTTTATTTGTGAAACTTGAGTTAAATGTATATGCAGATAATCGGTCTAGAATAAGATTGTCATGGAAACTTTGAGTGTGATGAGATCAAGGACGAATGTTTGATGGGCGTTTCCTATTTATTCCCTTACTATCTACCTAACCTGACCAGATCCTTAAATTTTTCCGGAATATTGGTAATATGAAACGGAGTTTGCCAATTCTACCTTAATTAATTAACTACAGAGATAAATAGTTAAGTGTTACACGTAAAGAATATAAGGGGCCTTGTAATGTTTTTTGATTTCACGTGAGCCAGAATGTGATGCGTTAGACTTTGTATAGAACATATTTCGTAACAAAAAGAAGAAAACATGGAAAAATAATTTTACCTAATTCATGTGGGAGTTCTTCACATAAAACAGCCAATGTTAAACTTATTCCTAAACCGATACTTTGAGTAAATCCAACACCTATTGAAAGTCCATCCATAAAATTATGGGCACCATCACCAATGAAAATCATCCAAGCAACAGGTTCTAAATCACGTAGTCTATTTTGCCAACTTTTATGCTTTTTCAGTGTATGGGTTGACTGGATTATTGGTTGTGTATTTATTTGTTTATTATTACTAGGTTTTTGAAGTTCCGTAGAAAGTTCCTAAAACAAATATGAGTGCATAAAAGTTTAAAGAGAGGGTGAAGAAATCATAAAACTTCAGTCATTTTCCAAAATAACCCTTCATATGATGTAATGTATTATTGTGGAGATAGATAAAAAACTTGAAGACTTTATTCTCAATCATAACACTGAATAGAGCGATAATTTCAACCCATGTACTATGATCCAATTCGTCAAGTTCATTTTATCATATCAGAGAGGATTTGAGAAAATTTGCACTCTCAGAGCTATCGTACTGGGAATTATTATATATAGTTTTATTTTATAATTGTTAAATACATGAGCTATTATATTTACACAATGTTTTATGTATCAGCGTTCATTTAGTTTATTAACTGTTGATACACGTTTTATCATTCGTAAATTAAGGTTAATTAATGATTCCTCTATTTCTCCAGTTTTGGATTAATTCTAACTCATGTTGTGTACACAATGTAAATTCATTTTGCGTTGATGTATGGTTAATTATTTATTATATATTATCGTACGTTTTTGAGTTATTATGAAAGTACATACAAAATTAGACGGATCTGCTTGCTAACTCTGTCTCTTTACTGGACACTGGATTAGGAGCTCGCTGTCCCATAATTATTAAAATTCCTTGGTCGTTACTCATGATCATTAAGTTCCTAATAAAATAGGTCATTGATTCAGTTAGGTATGAAGTTGAACTAATCAATTAGCGGACTCGATAAATACAACTACTGTTCATTACTAACGACCCGACCAAGCACGATCCAACAAGAAAAAATTCGTGATTTTGGGAAGTAATATCGCATCCTCTAGCTCCAACATGATGAATATAGCTTAAAATCATGTGTGATACATTAAATGGTTTAATGTCCTAAACAGAGTTTACACCGATAAGACTTGATGGAAATATATATAATACAATCAACGGATATACCAATTTGTCATGAATGCAGGATAATCGATATGTCACGGAGATTCATCAATCAGAGCCCCGGTTATAACTTTCCTACCCCGCAAGTACTGTTTCACCTTTACCCTAATCCTAGCGTTGTAAGTTTTGGCCAATGGTAAACTTTAACTGGTACAATCAATCTTGAGTTGAGGCCAAGATAATCTATATTCTTATTGGTCCGCTGATACGCAAGCGTTCTATTTTCAGTATCGATTCTGATAAGAAGGAATACAACATACAAGTTTTTACTGCTCTATTCTAGGCATCTAGTACTTTAATCTCAAACAAGCGTTAAGTTATTTACATGAATCATTAGATTTTAGTGCACCCCAACAACAGCCAATAAGTTCAAGGGAAGCCTACAACACAAGGAACATAGAAATACAAAAATCCAACTATCTAACAATTATTTAATAATATAATATACAATAGTCCAAACCATTTCAATATTCCCAATACTTGTTTCGTTACAACACAAAAAGCATCTGATTTTTTTTCATATTCCACAACAAATATTCACAGTTTCATAAGTAATCATGATAGTACATCTTAAAAGAAAATAATTTAACCATATAATTTGTTTTTTCTCTAATTTATAAAAAAATATCTTTATTGGGAAAGACAGAAGCATAATTATTCTTAACGAAATAGAATATTGAATTATCCATTAAATATACTTTAAATTATCACAACCATACGGTTAAGAGATAAATGTTTATTTATACTATGAAAAATCGTATCATTCAACGTTGATCCCTTGATTTGTTGGCACGCGTTAATTAGAACGATAATAATAATAATAATAATCTTAATAACAATAATAACTATCACTATGAATCATCCACGACTACTATATTTACACATGTCATTTTTATTTAGGAAAAACAAAAAATGATCTCATTCCTTAATATCATAATAATGATATTCGACTGTGAACATCCATCTTTACTGTGTGTAAATTACTAATGAAATACACATATATTACTGTCGCCTCTTTTTTATTCTTCAGAAAAATAGCTAATACTTTGTTCAATGATAATAAACTCTATGTAAACTAATCAATATCTGATAATATTATCAATGTAAAGACACTAAAGAAATAGAAAAACTCTAGAAATTTCAAAAATTCGCAATTTTCAAGACAATCAAGTAACTATTTGTAGTGATTCATTTATCTGAAAGCTTATAACGAAAAAAAAAATGATGATTCAAAGTATTTCTTTTTATTACATTAAATTACAGATAAAAACAATGTAATATATGTAGTTAGGATGATCTTGTGCTATTTAACTGTTTTGTGGTGTTGTGTAACGAGAACTGTGAATACAACTTTTTTTTCTCTAAATCATGTTACCACAATGGCCTCAGTTGTTATTTGATTGGTTGGTTTCATGAGAAGTTTGTTAATTTCCCTATCACAAGGCCATTCTGTTATTATTACATATAGAGTTATTCCATTTCAATTTCAACTGTAGAGATATCAAGCGTTTTTTTGCACTCTTATCTTTTTCCTATCTTCCACTAAGTTAGAGATTATTATCGGAGTGTTCTGTGTCAGTAGTCGGTCGTATCCAATTAGAAATTACCTTATTTGCAATCCTAAACGTAACATATATATATGCTGTTTCTTGTTTTAAGTGAAATAAACTTTGTAAAAATAAAATGAAAAGACCTTGGTAACAATTATTTAATAATATAATATACAATAGTCCAAACCATTTCAATATTCCCAATACTTGTTTCGTTACAACACAAAAAGCATCTGATTTTTTTTCATATTCCACAACAAATATTCACAGTTTCATAAGTAATCATGATAGTACATTCACAATGGTTTACAAAAAAATTTGAGCATGTGAAACCACTAAAATCATACAGATTGTCGATGAAATGTATTAATAACAGATGTCCTTAAAAGATGGCCTTAAAAGTATAAAATGATAAAACCTAAGAAAAAATATTAAGTAAATTTAAAATTCGCCTAAACTATTTCACGGATTTCAGCGATGATTATAAACGAGTTTATCTATACAAAAATAACCTGTGGCCCATATATCGAAAATTAAAAACTCGGATTTCATTGTGTTTTGAAGACTCAGTGATAGTGGCGAGACCATAATTTATGGATGAACCAATCACATTTATGATTACAGGTCTTATATTTTGGCGCAAAATTCATTCATTCATTTTAGCTTATGTCAGTTCATGATGAAAACCCTAAATCTTATTCCTAACCCTAACCATCAACTGAAAATCATAATCTTAATTCCTCGCACTGGTTTATAACCCTCATTCAGCCCTAGTAAGTAGATGAACATTCGCAAGATCACTTTAGTGTTGCTCAAAAGCAGTATATAAGTTATAGATTTACCGTGTTAGTTACTGAAACAAAAAAATTCATAGTGAAAAAAACAATTTCGAATTCTGTAAATTGCGTCAGTCAGTCTATTATAAGAGTAACAAGGTAAAATGAAAAGATGTGTTGGTTGTTTTGATATTCATTATGGGTATATGTTTTGGAAGTAGTACGTGATTTGAAAATTTTCAGACTAAAATTATTTTGATCTAATAAAGATCTAGTTACATTGACATTGATAAAACATAATATCAGATATTTTGATTTATTACATTATAAATTGATTTGTTTCTTTAAATAATATCTTATTTGCTAAAATCACAAAAAACTTGGTGTTGTGGTGTACAAACACAGATAGCCATTGTGAATGAGAAAACTATGATCAGATAGGTTTAAAATACCTAAAGACTAAAAGGTTATAACAATTATGTAACACACTGACTGAGAAACGACTGATTTCATAAACAATTAACTCATGTGGTGCGAAAATACTACTAAATTAAACAATTTATAGTTTGCGTAGGATTCTTATGAAATAAGGAAACAAATATTTAATGTTTGTTAACCTCTTTGTTTGACTTGAAAAGTAAGGTCAGTCAGTCAGCTACAACGTCGGACCAGGCACATATATGCATCGGTCCGAGTTGCCATGCCTCATTAGCACAACAAGGTGAACACCAAATTCATAGAACTAATTATTTCAATGGTAGTAATATATAAAACAAAAAGGTTGTGTATAAGGATATAGTACAAGAAGAAAGAAGTAGTTCGTAGAAAGAAAGACCTACATTTCGTGCTATTCGGCACTCGTCAGTAAGGTGTACCTGTAATCCTGAGGCAACTAATGCTCTCTCTCCCGTATCACCCAGTTTCACACTCAGAGACGGTACCTGTGAGTTATCCGTTCCGGATGATGACGATAAAATTTGAAGGACCTGACATACATTAAATTGGTGACTATTCAGTGGTCAACCAATTGGAAATAAACAATCGAGAACGGAACAGCGATAAATTCATAACAGAAAACTTATGCCTTTATTGGGGAACTATGATATGTCTTATCCCTTTTCACTTCCCAATAATACTGAACATAAAACTAGAGTGTCGTTCAGCCGATGTACAGCAATCTGCAAGAATTCTTATGGAAACTATGAAGTCAGAGTTGTGAAGGATAACAGTAAAATCCAAAAAGTAGAACACACTGCTCTTTATCAGTCGTTGTCAAACGAGAAACAAGGTAGCCTAGTCAATTAAAAAGCGTTAAACGTTGACAAACAAGTGTATATTAACCGATATATTAGTCAGTCAGTCAGTATTATTTGTTGATAGCTAGCCTAAACAATCATTTGAGTCTTAGTTACAAAGAAAAATATTTTTAATGATGATGACCCACTGGAGAATTAGATTTCTTTTAGCTGTAAAAGTTAATGGTAATTTTATCTTACTAGTATGGGTTCCTAATTCTTTTAAGTTGAATCAAGATACAGAAATACGTTTACAATGACTAAAACTTTAGACATCTATCATGTAACTGAAAACAATACAACACTTATGGTTGATTGACACATGATTATGAAAGTTAGAAATATAAACAGAATAGGAATGAGACAGTTTCTGTATAAAATGTAACTTTGCTGACTCAGTATTTTCCGATTCGGCACAATGGCGTACAGTAGTAGTATAATATCATACTGGCACTGTGTATGATAACACTAGTTGTCACCATTGTCCCGATATAAACTAATGAAATAGTAAATAATAATGATAACAGTGATCGGTTAAAGCAAACAAGTTATTCACCTCGTATGATGGGAGATGATTCATTACGTCTTCAGTTGGAGGCGATTCACACTGTAAATCTGTCTCACCACCTACTAGAGACCTGTTCATTGTTTTCGACTGATTAGAACGGTTAGGTGTGAAATCAACAATAGGCCCATCTTTATCACCATCTGCTACTGGTTCGACAGGTATTACCATTGAAGGTCTTCCTTGTTGATGATAAGAAAGTTGATGGTGATGATGATGATGATTAAATTGATCTATGTGAAACCCATTTTGACTTTTGTCATTCGAATGTGTTTTCTTTTTCTAAATATGTGAGAATACAGAAAAAATATTCAAAAAAGTGAACAACTGAAATCAAGATGGCAATTTAACATATTTTATAAAATAGTAGTCAGTATTATTATTTTTTATTCCAAAAACTATTATTAACATTGTCGGAAGGGTAAATACATTTTTTCACTTCTTCAGATCATTTCATTACAAATGTTTCATTAAGATGGAGGATGATTCATAATAAATGTTATCATGTGTTCATTTTATTTACTGCCTTAACGTAATAAATATGTAAAACGGATAAGTTAAGAGTGCTTTAAGTAGTAGAGAGCAAGGTCTATGTCTGATGACTGCCGAAGCCGTTCGAATTCATTCGAGTCACCAACAACAAAGGGCTTGGTGTTAACAAAATATATTGAGTGAGGTTGATGTCACCTCTGAAAATGTCTTGAACACTGAGTGGAACAGTTCGAAGGACACTGTGACTGGTCCATCGCTGCTGAAGCTCCAAACAGACGGTCATTTATTCGTTATGTGGTGATTAATAATGCAACTAGGTAATAGTCCAAGAGAAACTATGCCTCAAATGACCTACTCACAGTCTTTATGGATGAAGAAGAAATTATAGTCAGAGAAATAGAGGTGGGATTGTTAAGAAATTGGTAACAAGCTAAGGTTATTCCATCTTCTTATTCATGTATTTAAAAATCCCTACGTAATGGACATAATAAAAATCGGAGTTTATATTTATCGTTGATCGTTTTCAAAATATTGGCTTCCATTAAGCTCCATATATTGCGTGAAATTTCTGAAAGATTGACTCGAAAGAATTGGAGTGCTTTTGGTTCACGTATTGGATACATAAATAACATCTTCATCCCCATCAAATATTTGGATGTCGTCACATGTTTTGCAGGACAACAAGCATAGTGTTTTTTGGTATCAGGGTTCGTTTTTGCTTGCTGGAGAGAATTATCCTCTGAAATTATATACTGAAATGTCCAGAGTTTGATAAAATTTCTAAGTCCTGATACAAATCACTTTCAGAAGAGTATGAGTGTTTAATCACTTATTTCTAGATCGCTTCAAACTAACAGTGGGGCTAAACGGAGTTTAACAATCTCGCCATTCTTCTTTAGTTTTTCCACCGATGATACCTCCAAGAAATCATATGGTAGTATAAACTTGGGACCTGAAAACAGACTGTTCAACCTGAAGTATACGGAACAATGTTTTTGTTAGCTTAGATATATCTTACCCAAGTTATTCCAGCCTACATAACTTTTATCAGTTAGTGATAAGTGTACTAGAATTTACAGATTTCTATAAGAACGAAAATTGCTAATAATCTGTATAAGTTTGTAACATGAAGTTAGTATCAAACGACAGAAGATATACAAATAAATTGAGAGTTAAATTTCTGATCAGTTTTAAGCCATGATAAAGAAACATTTAGGTGAAACATAATCAACTAATCTATCACTAATGTAACTTCAAATACACTCTGAATCGAAATATTGTGAAAGAAAATTTGGTTGAAAAAAACAGTGAATATTCAGTAGTAAGAATTATTATTAGTATTTACGTACTTGAAAACATTGTGGAATAAGACGTAGGAGGAATTCCAAAATATAGAAGAAAAATACACCAATACATACGGTAATCGACTTAATAACATACGAGTCGGAATCTTTTGTATTGTTATTACCTGTTGGTTGAATGATTTGTAATGCCTAAAACAAGAAAGTAAATCCATTGAAGACATATTCTGGTATACACATTAAAAGTAAACAAGAATGCGAAAATAGATTAGCATATTTGAAATATTATTTTTATCCACAAATCAGAAAAATGTTTCCTAGATAGAAATGAACACAATTATAGAAATCTAATTATTGCAGTTATCAGAGACTTTTTAATTAAGTAAACTACAAAACAAACTAGATATAATTATTGTCTTTAACAATAAACCAGTTAAATAAAGGCTGATTTTAATCCGAATACAAATTATCGTACAACTTTGTATTCTTATGAAGTAAATTACAAGATAATTGAAAAATGTTATTTAGAAAAACAATGTAATCTAGGAAGCATTTAAATGCTCATTTAAATTAAACAAATAAGCCACAAGACAAGCCACTAAATAGACTAATAAAGCTTTGAAATAAGTTGAAATTCAGGTAGTTGTCAATACGGAGATTTGATTAGGCTTGAAAAAAGTGAGCTTCACTTCTAGTAGGGATTTGTGACTTAATGAAATAACAAGATGAGGTTCTAATATAACACTAAGACATTGAATGAGTACCATCCTTTATCACAAATTGACTGAAACGGAAGAAGGATAGTTCAGCGAAGAAAATATTTTTCGTTAAAACAATGTCATTTATTTATGCTTTTTAATCTCCACAATCCTTTCCTGATATTTATTATTAGTTTTATTTGCTAAAAAACAGTAGTCTATAATAAAATAGGATGGTGTTTGATGAATAAAGAAAACCTGAAGTGGTGCCTTGTTATGAAGAGTCCAAGAGGAATGGAAATGAAAAACTTATGTACATCAGAGGTTAAAGATATCCACTAATTCAAACCTAATCTTTGTGTACAAAAACAGTATGTCCATTCCCTTCCATCGTCTTAACCTTCCTTCCCATACTCCATAATCCTTCGATTTTTATATTCCTACTCCTTTCCAATGAATTTCACAACTATTAATTAGATATTATTACAACTTTTAATTATTCTGTCCTTAACAAGCATCAAGTGGACAATTATCTTCACCCTAACACCATCCACAAGTCGATTATTACATAACTTCTTTTCAAGATTTGATTTCCGTAAATAATTCAAGTCTTTTCTTTCTAAATTATTCAACACTATTGTATTTTACTATAAACTAACATATTTAGAAAATAAAATAAACTATAAATATGATTTTATAGCTTAAATAAATAAAATCCTTAAAAAGAAATAATTTTCTTTCTGGGACTATATTTATTCTTTTTCAACGATACAATGGGTCTCTTTAGTTATTTTAAATGGAATATATGAATTAACAGATTATAAATCAATGATCTATAGATATTTCGCACATTCCAAGACTTGAAAATCCTGGATTCAATCACATGTATGTATAATTAAACAGTTTTAAATTAGAAAAGAAACATAAATATTTACCTCAGGTATAAGTACAATAATGGAAGTTGATAATAATGAACCAACAGCAGTAGCCACCATAAATGAAAGTATTGTTGGGAAGAAACGATATTTTTTAAGAAACGTAAATACAATTCCTACAAGAGCACATAAATTAGTTAGAGTGACACAAAGAAATCCATAGCCCAAGCCTAAAAAACAAAATAACAGGATATTTAATAAATTTATAATTCCTCAATTAAAATATCTCTAAAAAAATGCTGAACAAAACTTCTAGTACAAAACGACAATATGTATTTGTCATTTATGTGTCATTTAATTTGTGTTCACTTCTCTCTTTGCTATACTCAATCAGAAAGTAATGATACGATTGTTCATAAGTGAAGGGGAAACATTTAAACAACCAAACTTTACACTGAAATTACAATATTTATAAACTATGTACATAGAAAACTTATTTCAAATTGATTGATCACTGACTGAGTAGTGACCAATGTCATATTTATCTAGTCTTTTGGTATTCATCAACTAGACAGGAGGTCAGCCACGAGTCCGAATAGCTTAATGATAACGTTTTACACTGAAACTGCATGATACGGGTTCGAAACCACCAACGATTATTAGTTTCTTCAAGATTACACGTACAAGTTGCTGATGAATACCGAATTGCATGAAACCTATGTATAGAGTTTCCTGTCGACTCCTTCCAAAAATCTAACGTGATAATTGACAAGATGTGATGTAGATTAACTTACCGAAGGAGTCAGTATACATTTGGTAAATTTACCAGATTACTTAGACGTATAACACTTTAGTTATGAAATTATGTACATTACAGAAAAAATTAATGTGTTTAATTTACAGATCACAATAACATAAGACATAGGCATTAATTCACTACAGCAATTATCTAACAACTAATCACAATTAAATAATTTTCGAATCCAAGTCGCCTACATTCACACAAACAGCTAAACAGTACTATTGAGAATACACAATAAAGTCTACTAAATTTGGAATTTGGATTCATGTAACTCAGTGTTGCACTACATAGTTTGAAGAATTAACAACAAATAGAATAAATCAACATGATTAGCAAAGTGGATAAGCCTAATCGAAAGGATGCGAAAACAACTATCAGTTAGTATCTTTAAAAATTGTGAGTTCACGAAAAGTATTCTTGACATTACTTGAAATCCTGATTGACTATGACAAGCATTATTGGACAATATTAGCTACAATGAAATTTCTTATTGAATTTCAATTCTGTTATTGCAGAATGTAAAATTTAACAAATAAAATAGCCTGAAATTATCAAGACATCCTAACCCATTTAGTTTATGATATGATCACTTGTAAACGCTATTGAAATCCTCGTTTGGATACTCGATGTGTTCGCACCTAAGGGCATGCTTTACATCACAAGTAACTTTTTAGACTAACAAATATTAAATATTTCGAAGCTTAGTTTTTTTTCAGAGAATGCTCTGTAATTCAAATCAATGACCATAACGATAACCCTGTCACTAACAATAATAATATTGATTAGTCAAGGACCGCCATTTTATCGGGTCAACATCGAACTCTCATGAAGTATTTTTACTCTAATATATATTTATGGCAAAAAATTACACAATAACTTTCTGATTGACAAGTGAATTATTAGTTTCTCTTTCCTAAAATTTAAGGTTGAACATGAAATGATATTTAATTAATTAGGGTTTAATTATAATGGTAAAGCTTACTCTCTGTAAACGATGGAGCGTTCGGGTTTGCCTTGGAACTATTGTTAATTAGCGACTGATTACTGTTGGACTTTAGTTAGAACAAAAAAAAAATTACTTCACTACAGAGAAAATTTACAGATTTCAATTAGAAAATAAGTAATGAAGTTAACGATAAGAATATTAACTTATGGGTATATGTCTGTGTACGTTTCCTACTTATACATTAATGTAATAATTTTCACAGTTAACTCTTGGAGCAAAAGCCTGCTGAAAAATAAGCTAAACGTTAGTCGATGTTTGGCTACAAGGCAACACACATCAAAGTCAATGATTTATATGAACGTTTATTTACCAGTCAGTAATTGACAATTTACATTTTCAATGTTGATATTGAAATAGAACATGAAGAAGACTGTACAACATAAGCAAATTATATACCGAGAAGGATAAAAAATGGGCTAATAAAACATGATTTAGTTTTAATCTTTTTACTTGATAAATCCCCTTATACCCGAACATCACGTTTTTTCTACATCGTAACAACACAAATAATTTCTAGATAACTGATGACGTTCAAAAGTGAAAATTATGGTATTCATGAAAGTTAGTATACTTAGTTCTAGTGAATATTAATGATTTATTAGGACAGTTTTCTTAATTGCTTTTGTGAAACAGAATCTGTAGGAAAAAATGAGCTAACTCATTTAGAAGATCCTGTTATTAGTTTAAAATGTTTAGTACACACTATTTTAAAAGTAGAGCCAAATTTATTAAATTTTCATCAAAATTTATTGAAAACCTTCTACATTAAACCATGGACTCAACACAAAAATGACTGCATCTTCTCTTATATTTATCGGATGAAACTTGATTCAGTGTATCCTCAGATAATCTCTTAAACTAGGCGGACTGTTTGAATTAATTAGGTAAATTCAAGGCCGTTAATTAGGACTTCTATTCCTCCTTTCACTGATGACAGACTGCTACTTCAAAAAATCGACAGAACAGTATTTGTTATGCTATTAAAGAATTCATCTTAGCTTTTAGCCAACATCAAGTTAAATTCGTCAATTGAATGGCATTTGTGTCATGTGATCAGGTACCTAAATGATCTACTGCCTTGTGAAGACAATAATTTAGAGACGCCCACAGTAAACCATCAAGAATGCTTGTACTCACACTTACTCCTACACATATATAGTTGTCAAAACTTAAACGATTTTGAAGCGTGTATGGAAGACCAAATTGCTTACACCACTTGTAGCAGAAACTATTTCAATTATTGTTAAGGCAACTTCATATCATAAAATAGCGGAACAAAAAAATATATGACAGAAAAGTGAGGGATACAGTAGATAAATGAATTTAACCTTCTCGAATAACGCATTATTCATTCTACATAACCTTAATTATTAGTCTACGTTATACATGAAAAGTGTCCAAACAAAAAGAGAAATCGATCAAAAGTCCAAAACAGATTAGTGAAACACACACTTAAATATGTGTGCTGTTGAAATTGTGGTTATTATAAGAAAAACAAATGCTGCTTTTTTGTAAACAGAAATTCGAACGATATTTGTAGCTCAAAGTACGGATCTTTTCAACAATGATACTGTGTGTAAAAGTGCAGCAGTTTAAACTTATCATAAATCTTGTAGTAAGTAATAATATTTAAAGTCAGATAATCACAACACAGTAAATAAAGATTTGTTTGAGAATAAATACCATAGCATACAAGTATGTCGACAAGTGGTACTGCTACAACAAAAATAAGCTTACTTGACTGGTTATGACCTCCTGACATTTAATTCTACTCACTAGAATGATAAAATAGATCGTTACGGAGAAAGCTCCAGATAACTTGTTGATCTGTTTCATGTTCTACAAAATCAAAAGAGACATTTTTTTATTTATTTCAATGAGGATATCAAATTCATTTTAAAGTAGATTATTTTGTTTAATAGAAACGAAAAACGTTAGGAAAAATATCCTAAAAATACTTTTAAGCTCGTTGAAATGAAATTAGTATGAAACGACAGCTCATAACGGTAATGAAATACAATGGGAATGAAATAACGATATGAAAACTAGGGACTAATTTCACAAACCTAGCTGTATTAGTTCCCATTTACATTTTGGCGGGTATCTAAGTTCCTGCACTTAAACGTCTCATACTAATCAACCGTATAATCGTTATGACAGTAATTCTCAACGGTGTATAAACCAAAGTAGTCAGAAAAACTTATTTCAGACACATGATTTATATGATATAACAGATAATTAGAAAACGAGAAGAGAATGGATGAAGTGGTATTTACGAAGGGATAAGTATACAAATGGATGTGTGTGTATGTGTATATAGTTTAAACAACTTAAGTTTCAGTAAGCGGAGTAAATATGTAGACAAATGCATGATAAATCTGTACATAGTCATTTACATGAAAATTCAGAGAAATTATTAAAAATTAAAATAATCCTACTTATCTGTCGAATATATTGACCTAAATGCTAAGTTGGTTTGAACCTGTGTGTAAGGGCATTATAACGGATCTTAAAATGTAATTACTATTTTCTTTTGTTTTCTTACTTTCTTTGTTGTAATGAGAACCACAAATTCCGCCTAGCCAAAAAGTAAGATGACGAAATCATAGATATCAATCTTTTGTAAATTTGACGGTACATCTTTTCATTATTTGTGGCACAATCAATAAGAAAAATGGACAATATAGTCCAGTAAATGAAGTTTGGTATATTTAAACAAATTTAAGTATCATCAAAAAGTGTACGGACTATTCTAGAATCATGAAGTGTCTATGTTCATGTAAAAGGTGCCTCCAAATTTGTAAATACTCTTATTCATTGGTGATCAAATGACTTCCCACAGACTTGCAGATGCAATAAAATAGTACGCTTAATAAAGCCTGTTTCATAATCGGCTTTCATAAATTTCATTTTCCAATAGGTTTACTAGTAAATAAAGACAAGGAATATACAGACATTATGGGCCATTGTTATTAATTAATAACATTTATTTATTATTTATTTGAACACATAAATATTGGTACAAAGGGGCACCGAATACATATGCGCCATACAAGTCACTTGATTTGTGTGTGGGCTGTGATACTGCCCGGGTTTGCAGACTGGAGCAGGAATTAATAAAATGAAAATCAACCATTGTCAAAAGATAACGGTTGTTTATATGATGGATGAAGAAAGGTTTCTCTCGAGATGCTTCAAGAAATCCACTGTACAATGTGCAGTTTTCAATTATATAAGTCCATATAGTTTTTCAACTTTATTCAGATTATTACGATGACTGTTCCTTGAGTACAGGACGGTAAAACGGTGAGCTTGTGGGATATCCGATAAAAGGTGAGTACACGAAAATTAAACTGTGCGGACTAGTTGTTTACCCTAATTGAAATTGCCAAACCGTGAGAAAAACATTTTAAGCACATAAGCTAGGTGATAAATAGTTCAGAAGTAGGCTTTTTAATATGAAAACGGATAACAGATGTTGAAGTAAGACTAAGATTTAAAGGTTAAATTTTTCTGCATTCATTCAATGTTTAGAACTTCACTTTCACGAAAATGATCCTCTGGTTAATCAGCAATATTGAGGGTCTATTGTTTAAAAAAAGTTAAGTATTACAATTACATAAAAAATTCACCAAACGGTCTCTCCAATTGACTGGATATTATTTACTTGGTAAGCCCAAAGCGAAGAGTGAAATCCACTCAAGATGACCTAGGCGTTTATATTATTACAAGTTTTTAATAATTAAGTGATCATTATATCTTTCTATAATAGTGCTCACGCGTTCGTATACGACAGCTAATAAGATGAAATTTACAAATAGGCATAAATGTCGTGCAAACCCCCCGTCCTTAAATCTAGAAAGCATTAGAACGCAGAAAGTCTATTTAGTTCGTTTAAAAACTTGTTACCTAAATGTGTCTGGATTCTAGAGTTGGTTTTCACACCATTTTGACGTTTGGAGTTATGGATACTAGGTTCAAGTGTGAATATTAGCTCTGAGTTCTACGGACACCGAAAGGACTGGAAACCAATGTGATGAAACACAAGTACTGACCAACTATCTCAACTGCTGTTGAAGAAGTAATCAATCAAAGCAAACAGCAGCAAGGCATTCTTTTTAGGAGCTCTACGAGATTCATTCCATGTTTTGGTTCACCTAACTTTCTTTCAACCTGCTGTTACACCAGACTTCTCCCGTTGAGGTAGGTGGTGATTAGGCATACGTAACACATGCTCCAGCCACCTCAATTGGTGGAGACTGAGTACCTCATCAATCGATTTATCGTATTTACCTAGTACTCTATGCCTAGTCCAGAGATTGCTTGCTCCGTGTTCCCAAAATACACGAGCAATGTTTCGAAGACATCTATGATTGAATAGTAGTAACCTTCGAATATCCTCTACTCTTAATGATCATGTTTCACATCCATATAATAAAACGGAACGAACTCGCCATTTGGTTGGAAGACGGATATCTGGCCTGTGCCACATGTAACTAATATGCAAAAAAACCCAATAAACTTAACCCTAACAGGAGAAGTGATTGATGGAGTTAATAATTTAAAGACACAAGAAGACTCGATGTAATTTCCACAAGTAGTGACATTATTCTTATAGACATCTTTTGTGAAACACTAAAGTGACCTTGAAGGTGCACCTGATAACTAGGACTACGTGAGGGTTATAAATCGGTGTGAAAAAAATAGTATTATGATTATCGGTTGATGGTTAAGGTTAGGAATTAGATTTAGGGTTATAACGACAAAACGCTATTTAGCCAAACGGGTAAATGAAATCCGCGCTAAAATGAAACCTGTCGTCTCATGTCTGACTGGTTTGTCCATAAGTTATAGTCTTGCCTCCTGACAATCAATATTATTATATGACGTAAGAAATAGGACATGCACTAAATGTCACTGAGTCAAATGAATTTTTGAAAAATAGTTTGCGGAATAGAGTAGTTTGCTATATAGGCATTGTGCAATCCGTACTTAACCCAAACAATCTCAATAATCCCCAGCTCATTTCCAGTAGGATTAGGTCTTAGTTGTGCTGAAGGGATATTATTACTTGCAAAGACTATACAGAAATGTAAAACGAGACCTCAAAACGTTCTAATGACATGTTTTTAGAAATAAAATTTACGTTCCGATCTGCAATAGATTTTAACTTACTTACAAATTGTGACTATAACTGCCAATTACTGTTGGAAACACTCCAATGACAACAGCTACAGGTTTATAATCCAAGCGAGTAACCTTGAACTTTGAACGGTGTGCAAGCACATTGGGGAATGAATCGAAAGGTGAAGCAATGTTCAATGAATATTGTTTATTTGGTGAATAGAGTGTATTAGACAATGTTCACGTCTTCAAATTTTTCCACGAAATTGCGTTTGAATCATTTGGTATATGTATTCATTCACGTGCACTTTTCAGTTGTCAGGGCTAATGATAATATTTCAAGCGCTTTGTGAAAACCCTCGTGCTGCGTACTATCGTAAAGATACTATCTCCCTTCGGCTTTTCCAACAAAGGTTCTCAGATTGTGTGTTTTGGCAGGGGATCCCAGTAATCGACCACTTGATGAGTGAATCTAAACTCTCGGTGCAAATTATTCAATATCACACTTTGTACTATCACCAGCCTCCAGAAATCATGATGTTAGGCCAGTCAGTCTGTGCTAATCCTTGGATCTTTTTTCCAGTTCATATCCATCTCGTCGTTCAGATTATTCACTATTAAAGTTTTTCCAGTCCCTGACAACCACATAAGAATAACGAAACCACACTTAGTGTTTTTGACAGTCGTTTTTGAACTATTTTGCTAAAATCTTGGCGATGATTAATCCAAGCCGACAAAACAACCTGGAATCCAGTTTGTTAGTCTTATAAGCCACACCGCACGTCTACACTCCGTAATACAACTATCCATATTCATGTGAACACGTCACTACCAAGTGCCTTATTTGTATTCGATTGTGCGTGAGAGTGACCTTCACCAAATGACATCATCCCCATTCCCTTACGATTCATAACTCTTTCACTTATATTATGGATCCACTCAGTGTAATTGGGCAAAATTCTAAATTTAGGATGAGTAACGTTTTAGTGACGGCATTCACATCAGATCTTGATCCCCTCACTATTACACTTAGCTCAAACATTTCATTTCGAAGGTTTTGAAGGTTTATTTAGTACGAATTTATTGGGATGATCACCAGCCCTATCCAAACAGGTCTTGTAAGCGTTAACTTTAAAGATCTTATCACTCGATAACGTTAAACCTTGAGGAGGAATCGACCATTGTTCTTTCAAGTTTGTAACTGTGTTTGGGCACCCTTTCAGCTTGATACGACCCCCAAGTGACAAATCTCACTTAATAAGAATATTGAACTCACGACGTCTATGTGAGCAATTTAATGTAAGGTTTTTATCGATTTGCATCCATTTACTAACTTTGAGATCATTCTTGATTAGGTCTCGTACTAAACCCACTTGTTGTCTTGTTATCATGGTAACGTATACTAACTGAGCATCTTCTGCTCCATTACTTTCCTAGTAGATGACTACACGAACTATGAACCAAGCACATTCAGTATAACAGACTCATTATCTTCCGACTCATCCATACTCCAGATGAACAAAGTTAAATTGGACCTAACTCCCTTAAAAGTCTTGTCAATGGCTTACTTACTTACGCCTGTTACTCCTCGTGAAGGAGCATAGGCCGCTCATCCAAGCCTGTCCTGGAGTTACTTTTTTCACCCTGTGGGCATGTCGAAAGTGGGATTCTCGACCCACATCGAGAGCTTCGCTGACAGCGCTAGCCAACAGACTGATAAACATTTATTCTCCGGGCTCCAAACTCATCGTAGACGACACAGTCGTTTTATTGATTTTTTAACCATAGTGAGAAGTTATGCGGCATTCTCTACATGACCAGGATGAGGCTGGTATGCAGCAACGTTTATACAAGGTCGGCTATAGATTGGTAGGTATTCTACGGAACTATGTTATATAGCTGTCACACTGCATACCACCTCTGGCAAGAAGAACGCACAGCAAGGGACCATAACAGTCAATGGAAGCAAAACTTTTGACCGGCATTGTGTGGATTAGATAAGAAGAAGTTCGAAAGACAAAACATATAATGTTTAAAGTGGAAATCATAATTGGAATATTTATACAGCGAGTTCGGCTGCAGAAGGTGATCTAATAAATCAGTGTTAGTCCGGATATACAAAGTCGCTCTCGTTTAGTGTTCAAGCTCTTTTGAGTCGCTTGTGTTTTGCGATTATATAAAGGTCCTAGTTTTGCACTGAATTACACTTTTAATCTAACGAAATTATATTATGAAAAACGCAAAATATCTTTCAAGCATACCCCTGTCTGTATAGTCAAATGCTTATCCAGCACAGAATGGCATCCTTCACATTAACTACTAGATATCTCTCTGAGGTCAGAGAGGTCTGCAGATCACCACGGTAGATGATCAGTATCGAATGATCGAAGGCTTACTCGAATTCGACGACGATGATGTGATCGATCAGCTGACGTTGAAGTCCCACCTCACAGTTAGTAGCTAAAATGGATTACCTTTTCGTTGTGCCCGGGTACTATAGCTCCTTTGATGATCGTACAACACAAACAGCGTGATTACAAAAATGTATTAGTAAGAGCAGGTACAAGAACAGAGTGGGACCACTAGCTCAATTAGCTGATGTGCGTCGGTTGTCCTTGACAAGGTCAGTGAGCTATTCAGTATTCATTGACCCGACTACTGGAATGATGTGGCTAGAATCTATTGATATTTCACTAAAGCTACATGCCTTTCATTATTTTGATATTCGTTCATTTAAACTTTCTTAGGATAGAAAATTAATATTTCAAACTAAGGCTTGTTGCTTTGAATTAATACCTCGACTGCAACCGGTTCCAAGTACATGTCTTAATAATACTCCCTAACACATAAATTTAAACTAGGTTGACAATGTGAGTTGGCCCATTCGAGGTTTCTTGGACGCTAAGTGTTCTAAAAATCCTCTAAGTCACTTGATTTCATCAATGTCCTGAAGTTTTTGTATTGCCAAAATGTACTCAATATATTATATAATTTCAGAATAAATATTAGCACAACCTTTGGTTTTCCTAAACGAAATCTTTTTTGAACGTTTGCTTTAATAGTAACTCACAATCCACTATTCGATAATGCCATTATTACTAAACTTTGTTAGGCATGAATATCATACTACTTCCTTCTTTTGATATGTCAGTAATCTCACTTTGCTCCCTCAGGTAGCTTTTCCTTAGTTGTTTGGCCTAACCTTTATTGAATAGCAACTTTTATCTTAATCAACTTGCTGCTTTCAACATATAGTTTGCAATATATTCTATACCTTACGCTTGTGTTATTTCTGACTGCATTCAGGTGCATTCGTTATTAAACATGAGTGCGTGTTTTATGCTCACTTTTTCTCTTATTTATTTCGCTTTCGGACCTTCTCACATACTGCTCCTCGCACCTTAGCGTTAGACGCAAACTTACTGAAAACGAAAAGTTACAGATTGTTAAGGTTTGATCACTCCAAGATTATTCAGTGAACTTTTTAATGTGTATTAATTCAGACATCCGGTACCTCATCATCCTCTTCGCCTATCATGGTCCATTATTATTAATAACTCCACTTCCGAGGTTACCATGCTGCAACACAACAATTGGGATTTAGAAGACAGCTTCACAAAGATTTTTCCAACTCCTAAGATTAAAATTTGACGAACATTCAAAAGTACAAACCTTTCGACAAAAATAACAAGCGTCGGTAACTTTCACATAATAACAGTCGTTTTCAGAAGTTGAACGGTGTACAAAAATGTATGAAAACTGAACATGGGTACAAACGGGTAAAAATAGCAGTTCCAAGAATATAGACCCTTGAAAACCGTTGTAGCGGTAAATAAATCCTCAAAATAAATAGCTCTGTAAGTTTTCGACATTGGATGCTGACCACATTAGTTTTAATGGACTCACCTGCCTGAAGGCGCTCGGTCATGCATCCGCACCAGATCACGTGTGGGAACACCGTGCTCAACATCTACTGCAATCGCTAGCCAGATTAGATCAGTCGGTTCACGATATATTGATAGCCTATCAAATATATCTTCGAACCTTTTTGCTTATGTCTTTTGATTTCACTTGATGGGTACGCTTCATAATAGAAGGTGTTACTGGTTAAAGCGTTAGTATGATTAGTATGATACAGTTTTTGGCGATTCATATAACTTACTGCTCTGTTTGCCCCAATAACGAAAATTCGCATGCGCTTATCCAACATCATAGTCTCCCACTCATTACGTTCTGCCATAAAATTCAACGTGAAGAAATATAAGTTTTATTGGTAATTATTTGACACTGGTGAACTGAATACATATTACACACCCGGTAACATCAAACAATGTTTATTAAGTTTTGAGGATCAATGTGTGTATGGAGGGTTTGGAGCGCAAGAAAATGAAATGAAATCTCTTCATCTCACAGAATTCATTGTTTCTGGTCTACAAGGGATTTTAAGCGGGACTGATTGGGTGATACTAAAATGCCAGAAAAAGGATATTTGAAGATATAATGCATAACAGTTTTGCCCTTCGTTGTTTAATGCTGTGCAAATTACAAAGGTATTCTTAAAATGAAAGTTAACAAGTTGAGTTTGGGTAAAGAAGTTGTTAAGGATGGTCTAAAAAATCAAAAGGTGCCAGTCATTAGCAGTAAGGTTTACCTATTTGTTGCTTTTCAAGAACGTGGCTTGAAATCAATCTTTGGCGATTTTTTAAAATCTCGTCTATATTATAGCACTTAAATTAATATACTTCAATTCCTCGAGATTCGATATAAGCCACATTAAGCGTTTAAGTAAATGAATTACCACTTTTACAGACGTAAAATATGCCATAACGCATGACGGCATCACCTGATGGCCAGAGTATTGTTAGGCCTGTTTCAGTGTATGGCATCTTCTTTAGTAATCATGTAGTAGGTCGAACAAATGTTAAGGCGATCGCAGACGTCTAATGGCAACAATCGATTTCAGATTCCATGCATTCAGTAACAGTAGTCGCATTAACGCGAATTTCATGTAGACTGCGTATTGGTGCATATTGGCGATGCGCTCTGATTGGTAAGAAGACCAGGAAATTTCAACTTGATACCTTCGTTTGCCCTGAATGTCATACGTTAGAAAGGTTCTACCAGATATACTACATTCAAGCTTTAGAACTAATCTGCACTTGAATTCGTCGTTGCCACTTATGTTTAATATACATATAGCATCGATATGTCTCTAAATGTGACGAAAATCTAATCAAGTTACTTATAACAAGTTTGGACCTTGTCCTGTCTTCTTCTAGTTAGCCTTAAACTTAATATCGTT